GTTTTGATGTTGTTTTGAGCGTTCCGAAGGTTGGAACAAGTTTGAATTATGTTATGGGGTGTGCTGGCATGTTTGGTCGGGGTCCCATGAGGCTCGAATATGTTTTGGAAGAGTTTTTGGAAAATTTTGCCATTTTGAGCATAAGCATGTAATGATCCAAAGGTCAATTTTTAATTCTAGAGATCGAAATTTGATTTCGAGACTTCTGGAATTTTGATAATGAATTATAGGACTGATCCAGAAAGTTTGGTCTAATTTCATCAAGTCGTGATTGGGTTTTTTACACGAAACATGAGTTAATTGTTTAACGAGCGAAATGGGTATTGAACTGAGCAAATGAGCTCTGAATTGAGTTTCGACTAAAGGGCTATGTTCGTATTATTATTTGTGACTCATAGGAACAAGAATCATCGAATTCCGAGTTCGTATGATGGAGTTAGAGCCTTTTTAGTGAAAAGAAAAGCTGCTGCAATTTTCTGGGCAGTTTCTGCATTTTTCGCACGTGTGAACAGTGACCGCTCCTGCGTGAACAGTACCCATGTACAATACACGTGAACAGTACGTGAACAGTAAAAACGTATGAACAGTACCCCGAAATTCTGGACAGTTTTAAGTCCAACAGTCCGATTTTTGGTCATTTTTTTTTACTGCCAAGCTCGGGTTTTGGGCAATTTTGAGCAAGAAATCACGGGAATTCTTGGGGTAAGTGTTCTTGAATCCCTTGTGATTTTATTTCATGAATAAACCTTCATTTTTGGCGTTAGATTATTGATATTTGAAGAGAAATGGAGGAATTTTCTAAAATTCCATAAAAATGAATTTTTAAGATTTGAAAGCCAATCCGATATCGAATTTTGGTAAAATTTATTTGGTTGGACTCGTGGTTGGATGGGTGTTCATATTCCGTGACTTTTGTCATATTCCGAGATGTGGGCCCCATGGGCGAATTTTGAGTACAATTTCGGATTTTTAATGGAAAATGTAGAATTTCATATGGAATTAATTTCTATAATTTTTATTAATTGAATTGAATTATTGTGGCTAGTTTCGAGAATTCGGAGGTCGATTTGAGAGACAAAGGCATCGCGAGCTAAAGGATTAGCTGGTTCGAGGTAAGTAATGATTGTAAATGATGTCCTAAGGGTTTGAACCCCGGATTTGCACATCGTAGTGCTATAGTGAGGTGAGACAAGCGCTGGATGATGAGCGCGGGGTCTTTTACTGCCGGGGATTGTGACTTGGTCCATCCCGATTGATGATTTTACGCATATTTGATTGAAACTTATTTGTTATCATCATGATTTAGGCTGATTGTCATACTTGGGCTTCGTGCCAATTATTTGAATCCTTCGGGAATTTTTATCACTATTTCCTCACTGTTTTGACTTATATTTAAACTCAGTCCTGTTTATAATTATTGTTTTACAAACTCAACCGCTTTTATGCAGATTTGAAAACTCAAATGATATTTCTAAATGGTATTTTGGGCTGAGAACTACTGTTTTACAAATGCCCGAGGGGCTTATGATGATTTCCGGACTGAGTGAGGCCGAGGGCCATATGTTAGGATATGCCGAGTGATATAAGGCCGAGGGCCTGAGATACTTTATATGCCACGCGGTGGCTTGAGTGATGTGAGGATATGCTGAGTGATGATGCCACGAGGTGGCTTGATATAGCGCTTGGGCCGTAAGGGGCCCCTCCGGAGTCTGCACACCCACAGTGAGCGCGGGTACCCATTGTTCTGAGTGATTGATACTATGCCCGATGGGCTGATATGAGTGATTGTGAGGTAGCCCGAGGGGCTGATACTATTCTGAGAGTGAGCCCGAGGGGCTGTTACTGTTCTGATATTGAGCCCGAGGGGCTGGCACTGTTCTGATATTGAGCCCGAGGGGCTGGTTCTGTTGATATTATGCCCGAGGGGCGGTTTGTTGTACATGTTTTGCCCGAGGGGCTGTTTACATTTCTATTATTTTTGTTACTCACTTGTAAACTACTTGCTTTACTTGTTGGAAAAAAGGGATTTTCACTTGATTTCTCACTGCTTTACTGTTTAAAGTGATTTTACTGCTTCAGTATGGAATACCTTGTGTTTTTGCGTGATTTCTTGCCTTCAGTCTTTATTTATTATTATTACTCACTGAGTCGGAGTACTCACATTACTCCCTGCACCTTGTGTGCAGATTCAGGTATGTTTTGGCTGATCGGAAGCAGAGTCATCAGGGTTTAGCAAGGTAGTTGCCGGCGTTCGCAGCACTGCTTTTCTCTCTCCTCATTTCATTAGTTTCTATTTGTACACTCCAGGCTTTCAGTTGTATTTATACCCTAGTAGATGCTCGTGAATTGTGACACCCCGGTTAGGTTGTGTCGGGTTGTGCTTCCGTTAATTATATCATTAAATCATATTTAAACTGTTTATTAATGTTTAACTATTTTTGAAAAGGCGATATGGGTTTGTTGGTTAGTCTTGTCTTCACAGAGGCGCCATCACGACCAGAGCGGGGTTTGGGTCGTGACAGGTAAATATGTTGTCCTTTCTTTCATAAGATAGGAAAACCAATTATGGTAAGAAAATCTGGACAAACACCTAACAGTGTCAATCCTAAATGAGTAGGAATGACTATACGAATCCTCAACTTCCATTAGAAAGAAAAAAGTTCATTTTATTAGCTTTTCATTTTTGGGGATTCACTTCATTAGCTTCTATATGAGTTTAAGTTGTATGCACTGCTGGTTTAAAAATATTCATACAATACTTATGAGCGGTGGTGGATCTATGTACAAATTTTAGGTGCTTTAGCACCCATTGACCTCCGCATAAACTGTGTATAGTTATATAAAAAATATAAGAAAACTGATATAAGATGCTAGCAAGCACCCAGGAAACAAAAGGACTAATGGGTGTTGTGGTGTTGAGGTTGAAGTAAAGGCGTGTCTGAAACTAGAGGCGTGGGTTCGATTCCTACTTGATTTGCGACTAGAAGTCATATTTTGATAACCATAGTTTTCTTATTAATTTTTTTCTCTGTTGCGTTCGAATCGTTGTACACTTACACTAGGTCGTTGGTAGCAACTTTATTTTAAAGGAAGCAAGCACCCCACGACCTTAAAATCTTGGATCCCCACTGCTTATGAGGTAAATGCAGATAAATCACTATAATACGCATTAATTGATAACTTCAAAAAAATGGTAACCAATCTGCTATAATAGGTTAAACTACACTAATTGTCTAAAAAATCAGTGCATATATCGGAAAATGTCTTAATAAATCTGCAAAGTTTGATCCTCTTTCCAACAACTAATCAACCATTGAAAAGGGGGGCAGTAATGTTGATGAAAAAGTCACTCCCTTCCTGCTTTACTGAATCTTTTCGAGCGGTTCTTATTAATTCTACTCAGTTTTAAGTAAATACTAACAAGAACTATGCTAAAATAAATCAATAATGTTTTGGAGAGAGAGACAGAAGTGAAACCTGCGTTGGTTAAGTTTGCGAGGGGAAGTAAAAGAGGTGCCAGAGATCTGCTCAGCGTAAAGGCCAAAGGGGCAAATAAGAGGACTGTTTTGACCTTGAGGTAGAGCTCCAGCTATAGCTTCAGATGAGAAGTGATTTCCGAATCCTGATTTGTATTCCAAATCAGAGGGAAATTTGTTAGAAGACTGGGAAGTAATACTGCTATCTTTGCACTCCATTTTGTGGATAGATACTGATTCCTGCAACTTCCTATATATATTTATTTTTAGTTTTGTAGACTAATGAAGACAAGTCACAGTTGTAGAGTTGTAGTGGCAACGTTGTCTGAAAGTAGAAGAAGAGTACTAGGAAGGAAAGCGGTGCTGTCGTGGCACGATTATCTCTAAGAGGCGTGCGGGTTTGAGGAAACTGGGTTTGATATTATTATATTATATATTATATAGAAGAGGCAAGTGAGGTCGACCAAGGGCATAAATGTAATTTCGCTCCGCCATAAAGTGTTGTGTTCCCTTCCACACACTAATTGGTCTAGAACCATCTCCTCTATTCCATTTCACATCTTCNGAGGTCGACCAAGGGCATAAATGTAATTTCGCTCCGCCATAAAGTGTTGTGTTCCATTCGACACACTAAATTGGTCTAGAACCATCTCCTCTATTCCATTTCAGATCTTCAGACTTTCAAGAATTCTTTTATGTCTCTTGATCTTTTCTTCTATCTCTTGCAATTTCAGGTATGATTGTCTCTCCATCCTCTCTCTATACTTTTTTTCTTTGCCTTTTCGAGATCTCTAACAATTTTTAATATTTTTGTTTTTTGGTTCTATGGTGACATTATTATTCTATTTTTTTCTATAGAAAAGGCTTGTTTTGTCGATCAAGGGCATAAATGACATTTGCTCTGCCATTAATTATTTAGGTATAAAATCGCTTTATTTCCTTCACCATATATCTGACACAAATTCTAGAACTCTCCCTATTTTTCTGAAGCACTGCTCTCTTAGTATATCCGTTCTTCTTCTCTAATTTCAGGTAAGCCCTCAATTTTGATTTAATCTTTTTCTGCTTCTTTTCAAAAAATTGTCGGTGTTACGCTGAAAATAATTGTTGTTGTTATTATTCATTTTAACTTTCTCTTCTATATCCTTGTTCATCCCATATATTCTAAAGAAAAGTGAATTAGTGAAGGTCTTATTTTGGGCAAAATAGTTTCTAGCTCTTGTGCAATTTCTCGAATTTCAGACTGCTTTGCGAATTTCTGGTTACTATTCGGTAAAGAATATCTGGTATTGTGCAAGACTGAATTTGCTAAATTTCATGTCACTCTCTTCAAATATTCGCTGCTCATCGGGTATCTGTTTTAGGCCTTGTTCTCCGGTGATACGTTTATTGCTCAACTTCAGAGTTCTCCTTCGCTTCTTACAAGTATCATCTCTCTATTTTGGAGTATTTCTCAACTCTCTTATGTACTTTTTTCTGTTCTTTAGGCCGCTTAGTTGATTTAATGGTAAATATTTTTAGGATTCTCACCTTAAGGTATTCTTAAATTAGAAATCAAAATCTATAATCTCTAGATTTCTCATGTATTTTCATTTAAACCCTATAAAAATTTGTCTTTATTGGACATATGTGACATAGTAAATCTTATCCAAAAGAATGAAAGTGGACGACGAGCAGTTAATAGAAGTGGTATAGGTGAGCATTATAATGTCTGCAATCTGTGCAAAGATATGAATATTTGTTGGCATGTGTTCTTCTATCTTTTAGTATTATATGAATGCGCATATGGTTGTGACTGTTTTAAACTATTCTTTGTATTTAAAGGAGTTACATTTCCCATGCACTTGGTGTATCATTATGCTACCATCAAAACAAGTGATGTCCGGAATCTTAGTGGTAGGTATATTTTCATTAGTTTGCAAAACCTTATTATTAATGTTGTGGCTTACTAAAACGATCAATTGTTGTATTGGCAATCCCCATCACACCAATGCTGCTTTCCTTGCCTTTTTTCTAATGTATTTATCTAGGACTACCTTTATTGCTTGTTTGCTTGAGTTCTTTCTTTCTTTCTTGTTCTCTATTTTTTGTACATTGGACCCATATTATAAGTTGCTAAATATGTTAAGTTTGCTAATGAAATCTTGCATGACTTCTTCTAATGTCTTATGGTGTAATGCTATTTAGAGGTGTGACATATACCTTGTTACAAGTCTAACCTCAATGGGTTAATAAACATCATATAATAATTTTTAGTTGATTTCCTAAGACACACATGTGACAAATTCTGGAACTAATTCTCTATGTTGAATATGAACATGTTAATATAGGAGTTTGTTCATCAATATTGTAGTGACATGGTTGAAAACATTGACCATATAGACATTTTAATCGGACAACATTTAACAAATATTTATATTTAGCCAACTGTTAGTTTTGTTTACCGCAGTGTTTAATTAATATATCATCCCGAAATAAAATGGACTAAGCTCCCGGATCATGAGAAAAAAAGAAAAGTGCTTATTGTTAGCTCTAGGTTTAATCTTTTTTATTTAGTGTCAGTTATCTTTGAGACGTGAGATGTTGTGATCGTTATAAATGAGTTGCGAGTGTATGGTGAATTTCATTAAAGTGCTCTTTAGTTTTAATATATATTTTTTGACCCATGAAAGACTTTGGTCATTTTAAATGAGTAGTTAACTGTAATATTTTTTGTTGCAGACATCAAGGATGTTGCTATATTTATTCCTGTAGAACCATGCTGGGATAAGAGTTGTTAAGGTAAATTTTGAAGCTTTGTTAAATAAAATTAGAAATCTTTGTTTACTTTTTTAAGTTTCAAGAAGAAATACGTACTATCTTTTCTGTTTTATTAGGAAATAGTTTATGATCCCAAATGGATAGCTGCACATATTCATGCTATCTGTTTTAACTATTTTCTTGGTCTATTTTAACTATCAATCTTCAATCAACACATAAAGAGAGACTGGCATGCGAAGAAATACAAGAACTGTGTAATGTGTTTGTGCAATATTAAGATGCTAGCTCAGTAAGATGATTCGATATTTGTTGCTTTTGTACTGATATATTTATGTTGTTTTAGTCACCATGTGCCATTCTACAAGCAAGACATCATGTAGTGTCTTTGTTTCAGGTCTTTAACCATATTTGGAGGATAATTCATTCTGTTTACCGCATGTGAAAGTAAATATTGCTTTAATTATGACTTCATGCTAATGCAATGTATAGTACTTCACAGTCCCGACCCTATAATAGTTTTTTTCATAGATTTATTTGTAGATTGCTATTTTATTAAATTTTACTGTAACGGAAAAATTAGCATTCTTTCCGATTTCTAAAATATTTATTATTGGCAGATTTTAACTTTCTCTCAATGCCTATAAAACCCTCGCCATTTCAAAATGAAATAACTAAATTTTGGATATGATGCTACAAATTAAGCAAATAAACTAAGAAATTCTGTAATGTTTTTTTTATGTTTGTGTGTACCCAGCAACATTTAATATTTAGATACAAAGACCAAATTTGCATATGAAGTGAATCTTTGTATTTGAGTGTGAAACAACTTTTGTCATGAAACTTGAGAGTACCAAACCATGATTTGATAGGAATTCAGTTTATATTTTCCAATTTATAATGATAAGAAGTCTTTTGGAATTCTTAATACCTGAAAGAAAAAAAAATTATGCTTGATTTCAAGAGTTAGTGTCCTCTCTCATCTGAGGTAAAATGTGGATAGCAGCAATCTAGGGAAAGCACTTTTAATAATATTTGTGGCACTTTGCTTGGCTGACTAACACGTTTGTCTAATGAGCATTTATCCTTGGCTATTGTTTTAAGCATGTCTATTATTTTAAGATCTTAGCTACAAAGCATTTTTCCTTGGTTGTACAATATTTTTCAAGTGTCTTTAAATGAGTTCCATCGATAACTTTCTATCCCCAGAGGTGTCGAAGAACATAACAGTCATAGCTATCTTCCTTAAAACTCTTTCTATCGTATTCTTTTCCCCCTTTGTATCTTTTTCTCTTCTAGGAAAAGATTTTAAAACACACACTACGAATTTTCAGTATGGCATTGTCAGGAAAATCCGTTTAGGGGATGATCACTCATTAAAAAATAGGAGAAAGTGACTTTTCCTTATTTTTTCTTGAAGGAGCTTATCGTTGTCTATTCTGTTTTTCTAGCATTCCTTGCTATTTTGTTGTCTCTACAGAAATGCTTTTATTTCTAGATCAGTTATGCTATGTGTGGTTTTCTTTTTTAGCTTAACTGGAGCTTCGCTTCATACTTCATGAACACAAATACGATGTTGCTTGCATTGTTGTTTAATTTATAAATGAACTTATGACTTCTTAAAAGAAATTAAGTTGCCTAAATTGGTAAACATTGCAAGTACATGAAACTTTTGTCAAATGCGGACTTGACAAATGTAGGCAAAATTCGCAGAAGACTGTATTCCTAAAATCTTCGGTCCTTCTTTTCAATCAAACGAAGGAAAAATTCTCTTTCAACTACCATTTTCAATTTTATGCAAGTTGTATTTGCATCTCATCCTTCTTGATGTACAGGGTTGAAATTTGATAAGTGCTTCTATATATTTGGCATAACCTAGAGGTTTTTGCATCTAATGTAATGTTAGCAAAGCTTCTTTCTTAAAACCTGGATTTGATTATTTCTTGCTTTTTAACTCCTTTCTTTTATCTACACTTTTTTGTTCTCTGATTGGTCATATCATGTTTCTCTTGTTTTAATAACCCCTCATGTTTCTGGTCCTTTTTTTTGCATAGAAAAGTATTCTGAATTTATTTATTCAACCTTTTATCCTTTTCTACTAAGAATTCTCTCTTTCAATTATACTTTCAACTTTACAGCTTTACATATTTCTACGTTATATAGTAGCGAGAAATCTTCTAAATCTTTATTATTTCAAACATAAAATGTAAAAGCATTCTTACATGGAATTGTTGCTGAGATGGATTTTTTAATTCAGAATTACTTATTGATCTTGTTACGAGAAATGATTACAGATCTAGATGGAACCATTGCTCGATACAAGATTAATTAGGGTAGGAGCTTGCTTTCAAGAGAAACTGCAGTAAATAGAGAATAGAAAGAACTTTATCTCTGACACAAATTCTTGAAGAAGTCTGCCCATGTACCTGATTCTGTTAAATGGAATAGAAGTACCTATGGTTTTTTCTCAGTTGTTGAAGTCCGTTCTTTTCAAAAAAGTACTGGCGCATCTGGAACAAGAATTTCGAGGTGTATTTGGAAGAGCAAAACAACACCAAAGTTAATTTTCTTGGAGTGGACTACATGTCATAATGACCTAACTCGAGCAAACCTTTCACATGCTGGTGAAATCATATGCTTAAGATGTTAGGTGTGCTTAAAGGAAGCTGAAGTCCATTTGTTCTTCCATGTATCATTGTTTCTTAGCTTTATTGCATGTTCTTGGATTATATTAGCCTTATTGCATGTTCTTGGATTATAGAAGTAACAATAGCTGGATGGGCAAGAAAGTAAAGAACATCTCAGAAACATATGGAATACAATTCCGACCTGCATTTTCTAAGTAGTTTTATGTGCAATAAAACTTTGTATTTACCTACCAAAGGAAAATCATGAAACTCTTAAGAATGTGTTGAACACGTGATTATATTTTTTCAGGGAAGTTGACCCATCACATATTTCCTACACTTTGTTGTTGTAAATTTCCAATTTTTGTAGGTTCTGATCACCGTAAGATATTAGAAATTATCTCCCATTTGCAATGTGAATATTTTATTAAATCTTTCTACTCTATTGTAGTTTTTCAGTTTGGTATTTTTTGTTGGACAAAAGAAGCCAAATGACCATCCCAAAAAACAGTTCTAAAATCTTATTCAAGATTTGTAACGTTGGGCCCGCGAGTACGGGCCTGCCTCATCTAGTATAAATATATGTCGTTATTTATGGCACATCGCTTCGTCTTGCTTCTCCCCTCTCTTTCCTCCCAACTCCCCCCGCAACCCAAACTGAATTAGCCAAATCATTGTATTATTCTGCCATAAAAGATACCAAGTACGTACGTAACTGTTATGTCCTACCAAACATACAATGTCCCACTATTTTGTTTTGATGTTTTAAGGACCGTTCGGCTATAGATTTTACCAAATATATTTGGAGTTTTTTTTGGCAAATAGCTTGGTCATAAGTTTTATCTACATTTTGGTAAATTCTCAAAACTCAAATCCCAAAACCAGCTCAAGAGCTGATTTTGGCCCAAAATATCAGTATTACATTTTTTAAAAATTGCCCCAAACTTTTGTATTTTATAAAAGAGTCCACCATTTATTATTTTATAATAATGATGTTTCGTCTTCTCGGTCATCTGATAGTATATTATGTAGTTCATTATAAAAATGATAAGTCATGTTTCATGTTTTTTTTAAAAAAAAGTGAAATATGTTTTTGAAAACTTATGTCCAAACACATTTTCATCTTCAAATCAAACTTCACCCAAATTAAATTTTTCAAAACAAATTTGGGAATCTATGGCCGAACGCTAGCTTAATAATTTTAGTTCGATAAAAGTAGTATTCACAACTTTTAAATACTCTTTATCCTATTTTATGATGATATTAAACTGATTATAAACTGAAACAGTTTATAGAGCTAGCACCCATTCGATCGAACACTATTTAAAACGTGCCAACCTTTTAGGGCAAACAAAAAAGTAAATGTAAAGTTGAAGTGTTACTTGGATAAAGAAAGAATCAACCAAAATCAAAACTTGAATAATATACTAATATATTTGAAACTTTGAAAGCTATTAAAATAAAATAAAAATAAAAATAATATTAAATATTTAGAATATTCCAAAATGAAAAGAGTGTCTCGCGTAATTTGGGACAAATGAAGCATAAATTTTCTTGAACTTCCAAAATCTAATAATGTACCTAATATTGTTATATGAACATGTATAACTTGTTTGAGAATTGAGCGCAAGCATAAGAAGGATACATGGCTCGTGAACGAGCACGAGAAGTATGTGCACACGTATTTGTTAACCCATAAAACGGTACAGTTGAATTTATACATAGTTTATAGACAAGTAAATTAATTTGATTATGAAATAATAGATGAATTAGATAAAAATATAATACTTAGTCTTGAGATTGAAATAAAATAGTAGAAATAGTAATTTCGGTAGCAAGGTTTTCGGGCACACCATCAATGATATCAAAAAACAAAAAGATAAAATTGTATTAAGCTTTGAATAGAATGTAGCGTATGTTTCGTGTCCCCTACAATGATAATAGAGCTCACTATTGATAGTTGTACCTAGGGAACAAAGACCTAGGATCAAGCCCCTCTTTAATGTCAATTATGAGGGCCATTGAAGAACGTTTAATGGCAGACAATGAATGTTATATTCCTTGTAACGGATCGTGTACTTAATGCTATAGAATATTTCTTATTTAGTGCGGGTGGCAAGCATTTAATTTATCTCTGTGAGTATTACTGTCTCTGGTAACATATGGGATCGTCGCTTTCGGATTCAACTGTTTTCTGTCTTCGGCTCCACGTGTCACTTCCTTATTCGATCATTTAATGTAAACATATTTTACCTTATACAGATAGTCCCCCTACTTTCCGGTGGCGTAACTTTATGTCAGCGGGGAATTGGTAGAAAATACCTCTTTTGGCAGAAAATTCACTTACCCTCTCTGAAAAGTTTTTTGACGGTTGATTAGACACACGTCTCTCCGCATTTAATGCCCCGAACATGCGACATCCCATGATTTAAGCATTAGTTTTGCCGGTTAACGAGGTAATTATGGCCACGATTTTAGCCGCATGTATCTTCACTTATACACATCAAACTCCTTCATTCACACCTCATAATTCTTCAAACTCTCTTCATTCAACTCGTACTCTGTCTCCAACCTTTCTTTAATTTTCTTCATAAGAGAAAAGTTTTTCCTTCTTCTTTAACATAGAATGACTTCTTCTTCTAAAAACCTTAGTTCCTCAAAGAACAAAGGCAAAGCCGATGAGGCCGTTCCTCCTACAGTGAGCACCATCATCACCAGAAGTTTCGTCATAACTAAATACTTCAAAGAGAAATTTCCTTCTATTAACCTCGCACATGGGCCGTTGGCAGATACCCTTCTTCCATTCATCCTTCCAGTATTCTTGTTGTGAAGGAAGATTGTCGTTGTCGGGATTCAGACATTATCGCTCCTGATCTGTGGAGCGGATAACCTTATCCAAGAAGGGTTTTATGTATTTATATATGTATCCCTTCACTTTGGGGGCGTTTCCTCTGAGTTGAGAGCTTGACTCCATCATTGTGGAGTTCTACCTCCGCTACCAGGTGTGTTTGGCACAAGTAAGTCCTTCTGTGTGGAGGACGATTGCTTGTCTTCAACGCATATTCCAAGAAACGAGAGAGGAGCTATCTTTAGCTTATGTGATGAACCTCTATTCCCTCCAATATCTTCCGCGCGACAATGGTAAATTTAAAAAAAAAATGGCCACCATGCTCTACTATCTAGCATGGATGATACAATGATTGTGGGTGGATGAAACGGTTTGTTGCAGTTGCCACCATTTATATCATTCCGGCAAGACTTCATCCTTTCCAAAATTATAGAACCATACTCGTAAGTTCCTTGTTTAAACTTTCTTTCATTAGAGATCATCTCATATCATTATTGACCCTCCTTCTTGCGCCTGTTTCAGCAACTCGATGGGTACCACCTAGGGTTGAAGGCTTGGACCAGTGGGTCCAGAAAATCTTGGACGTCACTATGCCCGAGACCCACATGTGGAAAGAACTGGCCCTTAAATATGGGTGGAAGGAAAAAAATCATGGTAACTTGGACTCATCTTGTCTTTGCTTTTCGTGTGAGTAAATTGATTACTCCTTTCTCTCTTTGCTGAATTCAGGTCTATCCCAAGGCTCGGTGGCCGTCTCCGAGGAGGATGTCTTGGCTGATCATGCTAATATAGCGAAGCTGCTTCAGGAGGTGATTACTCGAACAAGCATCTTCGGACCTGCTTCGGGTGCAAGTGTCTCTTTTCGTAGTCCCGGCCGGAGAGCAAGCAAGCAAAAAAGAGATATTCCTCCGCGGTCGGGGAAAAAAATAAAAGGGTAAGGAGTGTCGTGCCAGAATTGTCTTCAGATGTTGTGGTGTCGATCTTAGTGCCTGAGCCGTCCATAGATATCGTGGTGATCGATGATGATGGAGAAGCTAGTGATGAGGGGGGTTCTCTACATAGAAGACGACGACCTTTATCAACTCAATAGAATGCTCGATCTATTGAGTTAGTTACACCAAATGAGGGCATTCTCTGGGAGGATTTTGAAATGGTGGAAAATGCCAACTACCATTTCCGGATCCCAGTTGCTGCACCCGGTGCTGTGATGTTGAGTACCGGGTCCCTGCCATCTTCGATTGGTGAGAAACCAACAACCAACACTACGTTTGCCACAGCTGCTTCTCACCCTCCAATACCATCAGCTTCATCTCCTTCTTCACCAACTCTTCCACCAGCAATTGCTACATCATATCCACCGGCTGCAACTGTCCGAGAATAGGATGTTCCTCTCCCTCAGTCCCCAGTTCATTGGAAATTAGGAAAAAATTACGCTGTCCCCTCAGAAGATCTGCAAAGGAGGATGACCGTTACTCTCTCGGTTTCTACCAGATGCAATCTGATGTCCTGGCCGGTGGAAGGCTAACAATCTGAAGCCTTTGCCTTCAAAAAAGATAGGGAAAAAATACAAGCTCTCTCGGGAGAGCACTTGTTGAACAATGTCGTGCATAATGCCGCAGTGGTATATCCTTCGTTTCCTTCATTATTTTTTCTACCTTTGATACAACATTATTCTGAGTTTGTATTTTCTATTTCGCAGACCAATTTTCTTGCTTCCGAGGGCCTCCAAAGGTTGAATAGAGATAAAGAGGAACTTACCTCTAAGCGGGATCAACTTTTGGCCGAGCGGGACCAAACTGTTGCTCGCCTTTCAGAATTGGAAATTAAAGTTGCTGAGGCAGTTGTGTTGGGGGCTCGGTTATAGCAAAGCGAGCAAGAAGTAGAGACCCTTAGCCAAGAGATCGTCCCGTTGAGGGTTCAATTTGAAGAGGCTAGGGCAAAATAGGCTGAAATGCAAAATAGGCTGAAGTGCATAGTGTCGTTCTTGCTACATCCAATCATGAGGCTGTCTCCGCTGAAAGATTAAATAATTTGGAGGGGGCCTTGAACTCCAAAACTGAAGAGTTTGCTACTACTGGGGTTAAGTATTCCCGACTGGAAGAGAAGTATAAGAAGACCATTGAACATAATAGACTTTTCAACTCTACGATCCGTGACCTCGATGTCAGCCTCTGATCCATTAGATACACGCCGGAAAATCTTTCTGCCGAGGTTGATGATAAGTAGGGATTTTGACTACTTATTAGTGCCTTTTAGCTTCCGTTTTAGTCCAAAAGTGTTTAGTTGTGTTCCCGAAAACTGATGAAATATGCTTAATTGTATGAGTATGGGAAAAGGAGCCTCCAAGATAAAATCCAACTCAAGAAGGAGTGATCTCAACTCAAGGAAAAAAATAGGCACGAAAGCTTAAAATACGGATCGCAGAATATCATCTGCGGCCGCAGATTGTGCAGAAAAACTTATCAGAGATCTGTGAGAAGTGCGGTCTGCA